ATTTCCATTATACAAAATAGATTTTGTACTCCACAGGGATTTCTTTGAATTCTATATACAAGGAGATAATATCTCCATTGTTTGATTTAGAGCTACATTACATTTTTTTCTTTGACCTCAGTTCTGGTTTTCAACCCAATGTACTAGTATCAGATGGAATTTGGGCTTAAGTATGCATTATGTTTGTCATGATTTGTAAAAAAAAGATGATAGTCTGTCAGTTTCCAAAAGCTACAGTGAATCTATCGTGAAAGAAGGGGTTGATGTGTATCAGTCCAAAGGAAGCTGTGATCTCTCCTGTTATTAAAGAGAATTTCATTAGGCTGCCTGGCTTAAGCAACCATTGGCCTTTATCTAATATCTGTCTTCTTGTTATAAGCACTATGATTGAGGGGTCAGTGGAAGAGTAGCTTCAGAAGCTCTTGGCAAATATGCATTTTCTTTACCCACATCAATTAGGTTTCAGAGCAAGATTCAGGACTGTGGTTGTCATAGTTCATCTAACTGAAAATATTTATATGGAACTGAGTAGGATGAGCATGATCCTGCTCATCTCACAGACTTTTCAGAACCACTTGATCTACACCAGCTTTTCCAGGCTTGTGCACATCTGGAAGGCAGCAGTTCGGGAAAAGGCTAGAGTATAATCTCATCCATATATTCATTCATACATGCTTCTAATGAAGGCTCAGATTTATTTTTTAATCATCAAATGGAGGAGCAACATGAACTTCCCTGAATATATGTGTGAATGTTGGTGCAAGGTGAATGAAGACTACCAGTAGGCTTTATCTACTTCTAAATAATTTCCTTAAAATCTCCATCCTGCTATCAGGCTGGATCACAACATTGCAATGGTGTCATACACTGGTCTTATGAGCATAATAGTAGAGGGCTATTTTGCAGGTCTTACATAACCCATGCTCAGGCACAGAGCCAACTCCCTCACAGTGTGGATGTAATGCTGAACAGAAACGTTGATAAATGCTCAGCTAAATGCTCAGTTATCATTTCAGACAGACCTATGGTTGCCAAGGAAACCCTGAATTTCTCTCATCATGGATTTTTGGGCATAGTTGCTAAAAGTATCCCAAGATTATAAATCAAATGGTCTCCAGTAACACCAGAGACCACCTCCTTTGGCTCGAGGAGACTGCAGGCAGAAGAGAGCGCTGTGCACTGGTGAAATTCCTAACCTGGTTGAAGAATGTAAGGCTACATGCAGTCATTAATACCCAAATCACAGTGGACTGTCCAAAGGAAATTGGTTAATGAGATGGAAGTTCAGTGAGCGATGACAATACTCCCTTTTCATCTCTTAAGCTGATGGTGATGCTGTACTTGGGAACCCATTGGATAAAACTGGAAGAGACTAATTCCACCCAAGTTGCTCTCATGCCAAGCTCACATCCTCATCCCATATTAAATTGTGGATGGCAGTGGATTTGCTGTTCACCAACCTGGTATTGAGGAACACCAGTAATGTGAATGTCACTCTCAATACATTTTTTTCAATTAATTTCCCCCTGCCTGAGCATGTAAAAAATTCACTCACCCATGGTTATATGCCTTGCAAGTGTGAGCATTGCACGTGTGTGACACTTCTGACATTTCATATATCTGAAGAGAACTATGGGCCACAAAAACTTGTAGCATAATCTATGTGTTCATCTTTAAGGTGTCACGTTAAACTCTTTGTTTTGCTGCTAGAAAATAACACTGCTGCCTCTTGGGAAAGTTTTTCCACATGTACTTTTATATTTCCTTGGAAGGTCACACTTCTGTGTCTTTAAATCTCAGAGATAAAGGTGCTGGGGATGCAGAGGCACACAATATGGAACACACCCCCAGACCCTGACTTTTGGGCATCGGATAGAGGCCTGGCCATTCCCGGAAGTATTCTGCCCTAGAAAACTGGAGGTCTTTTAAATTGTACCTGTTTTAACTTAGCTGCAAGGTTTTTATCTGCTCCTTTTGTGTTTCATTACTTGAAAGATGCTGTGAATTCTGAGTACTGTAGACTTTTTATATTCCATTGTGGGTGGGTTTTTTGACAGATCATTTTGTGTATCAGTGTGTATAGGATTGCATTATTTAGTGGCCACATACGTAGCATACCCACAGCTTTCTTAAGCTCTGGTCCTGCTCTTACTAATGCATGAGGGACTTTTCATAAGAGCCAATTCAGATGATGAATGAATATGCTAAGAATGTGGGAATTTGGCACATGGTACATCTTAGGAATATGCACAGTGTTCTATTTCTGTTTATTTTTTCCACAGTAATTGGTGGAAAGGACAGCTTAATTATGATTTAAGGCTTAATTAATTAGAGTGAGCTGCAGTAGCTCCCATTCTTGTAGGTTAATGGTCATGCTGGTTCTTCCGACTGTTCTGTTTTGCTGAAAATAGTGAACCTTCACATGGTGGATGAAAATAGTATGTCTTCACTTATAAAGCAAAACCCATTACAAAATATGGGACATATACAAACATTCCAACAGCACAGTCCTATCCTCAGAAGTAAGTCCTGCTAAGTTTAACATACTTTCTCAGTTAAGTGGGTACACAATTCTAGCCTTAGTTACAGTTAAAGAACTTACTCTGAAATAGTCCCATTGATGGAATCTCATCATATTTGTTTTGTGAGTAGCTTTGCCATTTTGCATAAATAGCAATGCAACTTATTTAATATCCAACTGAAGTCAACAACAGTTCTCAAAAATCTGAAATTGTATCACAACAAGCAAGTGTTCCTGCCCAGAGTTGCAGCCATTAATTCCTGACCTTCTCCAGAATATTCCATTCTTCTTCTTCCTCATACTGCATCTTTCCCACCACAGATCACCACTGCTCAGTTCTCACTGGACTGTCTTGGGTCCCCCTCAATATTTTTTCTTTCTATTTTTTTCTGTATTTCTTACAACCTTTCCCTTCTGTATGGGTGCTGTTTGTTTACATAAGGATGGGCAATAAAAGAGTTCACTGTCAGCATACAGGATTATTCTAAGTTCATTTACACTTAAGTCTAAATTCAAGCTGTGATCAAGAGACACTTCATATTCTTGATGTTTCTTCTTTAATGTGCAAAGGCATACAAGCCCATTTCTCGCAAACTGTGCAACAGCACCAAAAATGTTACTGCAAACACCACCTGAAATGTAACTTACACTTGTACCCACTTTTGTATACAATTGCATAACATGAGATTGTCCCTTATCTTTGCATCCGTCTGAGTGGTTTTAGATTTTTGTTGTAGGTAGCAATTCAATGCTGATGACAGTGAGTTAGGATTCCTGAACCTGAATAAACAACCAACATATGTGATGCATGGGAGGATAATAAACATTTTAAATAAATGCATTTATATTTATTTTGTGCTTTGATATATTGGTTTTATGTTGAATATTACCCTAAAATAGTATTAAGATTGGTATAAAGATATTTTAATAAAATTAATTACTAACGGATACATAAATGTTGTAATGTTTGCAAAGCACTGCTTACCCGCAAGTTCATTTCACTCAAATCAATTCAGGGCTTTCTTGCACATGGAAGATTGGCACGTCCAAGCCTCTCCACAATCCCCTCCCCCATTACGTATTCACAAGCGCTGGTCTGGCGCGGTGGCGGGAATGTTGGTACCGTGAACCTGGAAGGTCCCAGCTGGCGATGAAGCTCCCTGGGCGACTTTGGGCTACTCGTTTCCCCACTCTCAGCCCGACCTTCCTCACAGGGTTGTTGCTGAGAGCATAAACGGGGCTATATAAGCCACCTTGCGTTTCTCACAAGAGGAAACTAAAGACAGGATATAACTTTAATATGATAGTAATAGCGGTAATAATTTAGTGCGGCCTTTAAAGAAAGGTGCAGCCTCATGGCCGAAGGTGTGTGTGTGTGGGGGGGGGGCTTACTACGTATCTATAGCCCCAGGAAGTACCCTTCCTACTGCTCGGACAGTCCCTTGCCTGTGGACCGTATGTTTCCCCATAAGCGAGGTACACAGACCCTGCCGTGTGCGCCTGCCAACTTTCGCTGCCCGTAAATGAGCACCCGGCCAGGGAACCCTGGCTCAACGCGGGGAACCGGCCAGAGAGAGCTTCGGCGCATGCACGCTCCTCTAACATCCACAGCGTTGTGCAAAGGGTCATCTTTGCAAACGTTCTCCCAGGGTTTGGAATGACGCTTTCCCAGTCCGCCCAAGTCTAAGTCCGAGTCTATGAATGGAAGAAAGTCTCACACTTCGGGGTTCGTGTGGGGGGGTAAGTTGACTGTAAGAACTGCCCCCTCGGAACACACAGGAGCGCAACACACACACGGCCCCCACGAAAGCGAGTTCGCGGGTCGCCGTCCTGGCGCGGCCGGCCTCCCGGCTCCTCCTCCCGCTTCTACAATCTCTGAACAAAGTGGCGGAAGAACGAGAGGCGAGCGGAGGCGCACGGTGGGAAGGCGCGGAGAGGGGAAGGGAGGCCCGGCCGGCCAGCCAGCCAGGGAGCGCTCCTGGATGGCCCCTCCCCGCCCGCGGCCCGCCCCCGCGCAAACCCGGCCTCGCAGCGCCATGTGTGTGGCGAACAAGCGCGCGGGCTGCCGCCACACTATTTAAACAGAGGCTATGAGACCCGGAGGAGCAAGGGAGGTCCACCAAGATCGCTCGGGAGGCAGAGACGCTGGGGAAGGAGGGGGAGGGGGAGGAGGAGGAGGAGGAAGATGATGAAGAAGAAACTAAGAATGATGCCGGCGTCGCCGCTGCATCACGGACAAGAGTTGTAGTCGAGTTGCCAAACATCTTCCTTAAAATAATAACAACAACAATACATTCCGTACTAGCTATCAAAGGGGAGAAAGGGAGCGAGGAGACACCCCTTCTAATCGGATTCATACAAACTTTCTAGGCTCAGTGGTTTCTCTCTCATCCTTTCTGCATCTTTTTGGAAGGAATTTCACTTTCCGTGCAGGACACGTCAGAGCGCAATTTTTAAAATCCGGGACTGGCATCGCACCATGCCCTCCTTTCTCTTCCTCAATTTCTTCTCTTGTAGTCTCATGGCTTGGCTGCTCCTCGCCAGCACCAGCAGCAGCAGCAGCAGCAGCAGTTCGGAGGAGATGGTGGCGGCGGGCGGCGAGGAGAAAACGCTGCGGGTGCTGGTGCTGCTGCCCAAGGACAACGCGTACCTGTTCTCCCTGGCGCGGGTCAAGCCGGCTATCGAGTACGCGGTGCGGACCCTGGAGGCGAACGGGACGCTGCTGCCCGCAGGCTACAAGTTCCGGCTCTTCTACAACGACTCGGAGTGCGGCAACGGGGCGCTGTTCAGCCTGGTGGACATGATCGCCGTGCGGCGGCAGTGGCCCGACCTCCTGCTGGGGCCCGTGTGTGACTACGCGGCCGCGCCGGTGGCCCGCCTGGCGTCGCACTGGAACCTGCCCATGATCTCGGCCGGCGCGCTGGCCGCCGGCTTCAGCACCAAGACGGGCGAGTACTCGCACCTGACCCGGGTCTCGCCGGGCTACGCCAAGATGGGCGAGATGTTCCTGGAGCTCTTCCGGCACCACAAGTGGACGCGGGTCATGCTCGTCTACCACGAAGACAAGGAGCAGCGCAGCTGCTACTTCGCCGCCGAGGGCGTCCATGTGGTCTTCCGCGACGCGGGCTTCCACACGGACGACTTCGCCTTCGACGAGAGCGGGAAGTACACGGACGACGTGACGCGCGCCATCCAGGGCGGCGAGAGAGGTGAGGGCGCTTGCTGTGGGCGGGCGCCTGGGCAGAATGCGGTGAGCCGAAGGGAAAACCTCCGGGGCACCGACCCCGCGCTGCCCGGCTGGCCCTTCTCCCGGCCGGGCGGTCGGTTCTCCGACCGTCCTTTCAGCCGGAGAAGAGCTTCCGGGGGAGGTACGCGCGAGCAGGAGTTGCGCCCTAACCTCCTTGCCAGGGGGTCCCCAGAGAGGCATCTTTCAGTGCGGGGAGATCTTTTGAGTCGAGGAAGTGCCGCTGGTGCGGAGTCGGGACGCTCCCGCCCCCCAAAGCAGCACGCACAGCCGAGCCCGAAAGGACCAGCACGTCAGGATCCGTTTCGTAGTTCAGAGAAACTGCAGCTAAATCCTTCGCAGTACCTCGCCCCCTGCACCCAGCTGTCCTGGCGCTGTATTCGTCAGTGGAAGCGGCTATAGCAGCCTGTTACATTTACTCCACGGTAACTCCCATCCGGCAGAGGATGAGGTGGCCAGATGGAGTCACTGAAGCAGTCCGTGTGAGCTTAAGTGGACTCCGGGGGATGGTGGAGGACTGGAAGGCCTGGAGGAATATTGACCATGGGGTCGCGATGGCTCGGACGCGACTTCGCAACTAACAACAACAAACTCCCATTCAGGCAGTAGGGCTTATTCTCAGGAAAACGTGCATGGAGATCGAAGCTTCCTGGCATTGATTTGACCTATTCCCGCAGAGGTCCTATGATATTGGGCACTACTGTTCCCATTTTAAAGAGGAGCAATTGAGGTTGAAAGTGAGCAGTATGTGCAACTGAGTAGTCAGCAGAGGTGCAACTTGGATTCAGGCTTTCCCACGTCCAAGCCAAACCCATCATCACTCCGGGCCTCTGCTACTCTTTTAATTCTACTTCAGCGCTAGCTGTTTTGTTTCATTGTTCATTTCTAAGGTCAGATGCTCCTTGGTCGAGTACATAAAAATGTGCATTGTTTTGGATTGAGGTTGGTACCCGGCAATGCATATGATTGTGGGCTGTATATTGAAATCTATACTTTAAAACAGTAAAGGGTGCATGGGAATTGTGGAAGAAGGGGTAGCTATGAAGGTGTTCATCAGATTTTTCCATACTTAATTTGAAAGGCTGTATGAGTGCTACATCTGCAGTGGTACACTAGGGAGCACTCAGACTCTAAAAACATATACAGAATAAGATAAGTAAAAGCTATTTTGAATAACCTTTTTAACGGTTCTGAAATGTGCAGACATTGCAAGGGGGAAAATGTATCATCGTCTTAAGGACTGTGAGCGCTTGCCAGTAGGTGTTGGTGATACTCCTGAAATTACAATATGCGTAATGCTGTACACAGTCCAACGTGCAGTAGATGGGCTGGGAATGTGATTTCTATAGTAGACACATTAGCAGGGAGCAAGATGTTTGGTTTCCTGCTGCAACTGTGCATTTATTACACAGCTCTTTGGAAGATCCAGCGATTGCCACTGTTTTATACAGGCAAGTGTTAACCGATCTGGAATGGATAGGAATAAAGATACATTTCAACAGGGCATGGGCAGAGTGGCCCTAAGCCCTTGCCCTCATTGGTCCCTTTTATATTCTTCACTAATATGTACTATTTTGCACCATTATCACTGAACTAAAGAGTGCCAGTAAGTTTTAAAAGTATGATCTAGCACATTGCAGTTTTGCTCTTATTCAGGCTACTGACATTGTCCACTCCTATTTTGTTTGTGACAGACTTTTACTGAAAGAATTTTTAATTTGGACAAGCAAGCCTATAGGCTATTAATTTCTCCACCTACAGATGCCAAACTCTAGTTGATAACTGTAATGTCTTAGATAATATTTTCTTTCTTTATAAATACTTAATAAATGTGTATCCTCTCTTTCAGAACAACCCCCTTTCCAAGTCAGCTTATAAAAATGTAAAAACAAACACTCGCTGGCTTTCATATTTCTTTTTGCATCACTATATAATAGAAAGTTCCATGTGTTAAGAATGGCTCTCCACCCTTCTGATGCTGTGAATAAATGGTTCAGATACAGACTAAATATCAAAGGTGCATCTGGATTACTGATTCTGAATGTGCTGTAGACTTTCCATGACTGTTTTTTACACACACACACACACACACACACACACACACACAGAGAGAGAGAGAGAGAGAGAGAGAGAGAGAGAGAGAGAGAGAGAGATCTGCTGTAATGTATTAGCTTAGAAACTGAGCTACAAATCAGGGAGTTTGAATCTGAGTTTTGCCATGAACCTGTAGCTGGCAAAGTAAGCCACTGGTCTGTTTGATTCAGTCTTCCGTTGTGCAGCATGGGGATAATACTTTTCAGCATTATTACGAGGATTACAACAGATGTTAGGTATTACTTCTGCTTTACAGTTTGATTTTCCAGTGGAGCATTTCCTTCTCCCACAGCTTGCAAAAGCAATGAAGGAAGAACTGCTTAGACTGGTTAGTGCAGAAAATAATTGATAAATTAAATCAAATTTCAAAAGCATTGTTATTTATGTAGACTATTCCATGTGATTCTTGTATTCCAATGCTACTGTGGGCTTTGCTTGCATGTGGATGGAGTGCAAATGGAAAAAATAGGTTCCCGAGTTAGCAGAATTCTGCTCTGAATGAAACATACCCAAGCATTTCTTTGACTGTATTCTTCTTATTGTGATCACTATTAGTGAAGCATACTAGCGCTTTGCTAGTGCTGCCCCCATTAATCTGTGTGAATGCTCTCTTTTCCCAGTCACTGCATGCTCATAGATACATAGTACCTGGGCTGTGACAGGCCAGCACGCATGAAAGGATTGCTGAACAGCTACCTGTCTATGGCATGAGTGGCTGTCTGTGGATGCATACATGTTTCAGCATGCCTTATCAAAAATTACAGAAATGAATGCCATTAAAAAGTGCCCCTGGTAAGAAAGCAAGAAAGTTCACTCTTGTGCTTCCTCAAAATCTGGCACTTCCAAAATGTTACTACTTGTTCATATAGATCAGGGGTAGGCATTCTTTATAGACCCAGGCGCACTTGTGATGATTTTTTTTCAGGTCTACAGGCATATTTTACATGTTTTTCACACTCATAGGCACATTTTCATATCTTCTTTCATGGATTCCCACTATACTTGCCCGTCCACCTCTCTTTGCACTCTTCTTGGCTCTACCATTTTGGATTCCTGCTTTTTTGACCTTTCTTCCTGAGTTTCCCACTTTTTTGAACTTCCCCTTTTTCCTCACCTTTCCAGTGCTTTGGCTACCTTCCCACAACTGCTGCCACCACTTCTCTTGCGTGACTGAGCTCCTTGCTGCTTCTGAGTCACTTTAGCAGCAAAGAAGCAGAAAGTCAGCTGATTGGGCTACTTCCTGCTTCTGCCTGTAGAGAGGTGAGTGGAAGTAGCAGTGGGTCACCAAGTGGGCAGGCAAACTGGAAAGGCAATGATCAGGCAGTAAGGTGGATGCATTCACCTTGGCAGGGGTCAATTCTTCTGAAGGGGGTGCACTGTCAATCTCTAATATATATTATGGATGAGACAATCTTTTCCAATGCCCCCTCCCCCTTCTGTCTATTTCCTCAGTGGTGTTTCCTGTTTTATTTAGAGTGGAAGTTGTTCACCAGGAGGGCAAATGCACTGATGGCTTTTCTTTAATGCAATAAGGGTAGTAGGAATGAAGTACAGGTAGTAGGAATGAAGAAAGCCAGATTTTCAGTGAATGCAAGTGTGGATGATCCTTTCTAAAGCTTCAGAGGGATACTGTTACTATTCATTCTATGCCTTTGTCAATGGAGACATGAGATGACTTGACTCTATTGAAACTCAGCTCTGTTCTTGTTGAGCTGGTGGAGAAGTAGGTGTTGCACCTTTGCCATGACTACCTGCTAGCAAGACACTTTGGGGTGTATGGGATACTCTGGCAACTCTCTGGTGGCCCAACATGTATTCCACAATACCACGCTATGTAGGGACATGCGATACCAGCTGCAGATTAACAGACCACATTGGAAAAACTGAAGGAATATTGCTGCCTGTACTTGCACCGACTGTACTCTGGCAAATGTTGAAATGTTTTATCACAGATCTGCCCCCTCCAAACAGTTAACAGCCATTTTTGTAATTGGTGATACTTTCCGATTACAAACTGGAGATGCCAAGTTTTAGAGATGCCAAGTTTTAAACAAAAATAAATAAATAACATAACATAACTTCCTTCCATGTCAAGGGTCCTCAAGTACCCAAGAAACGACCTGTTTACTCCTTTGCTTTTTTTTTTTTTAGTTGCATTGACTTGCTTTCCATCGTGGATGGTAAGCAGTTGACCTCAAAGTTCTAGTAAATTTTCTTTTGCCTACTAGACAAACCTAATGATCACTATCCAAGCAATGAACACACTGAATGAACCAGCAGCCCAGAGCAATATCTCCAATGTTATTACACCAGCAGAACAACTGAGAAGACATGTTAACCATAGCAGAATTTCTGTTGGAGAACAGTTTCTATCTCTCAGTCTCTTTTCTTATTCTTTCCTCACAGATCATGATGAGAACCTTCTATCTATAATCTTTATTATGTCAAAACTGACCAGTCAGGACTGGCTTTGTGATACAAAGGGAGTAATATACAGATCATTAGCAAGAACCATCTATTGAGTTATAACCCTCTAATTGTTTGGCATTTGTTCTTACCCATAATACATGCTGATTCCAAACTGAATTCTCCCCCTCCTCTTCCTGCTAGACAGGTGACTCCTCAGAAAGGCTTGTGGGACAGATTGCAGGATTTCTGGATGTTAATTAATTAGCCTGCTTATTTGACTTGACATCAAACCATGGGTCTAATAAAATCTCATCTCTCCCCCTCTGACCTTCCATGTTCCAGAATGATTCTCTAAACCAAAGGAATTCCGTTTCTCACCAGCTGCTTTATTCATCCCAAAGCTGCCTTGACATTTCAGTTCTATGTTCTAACCTTGCCTTTCCTTTCAGTTTCTATACAGAG